CAGGTAGGGGAAGTGGACAGGGTCATATGGGGAGGTGGGCAGGGTCAGGTAGAAGGAGGTGGACGGCATCACACAGAGGAAGGTGGGCAGGGTCAGGTAGGGTAAGTGGACAGGGTCACACAAAGGAAGGTGGACAGCGTCAGGTGGAGGAGCATTGAGGAATTGGTTGAGGCTCACATAGTGGGTGATAGGTTAGGGGCCAAGGCCAGAGTCCTCGCTGTTGGGACCCAGCCTCACCACCTGTACCTGGTCTGGGAAGAGCTCAAGCACAAAGGTGGCCATGCTGCCATTGATGCCGATGAAGAGGTTGATGCAGGTGAGCACCACGTAGGCCGTGCTGGGCACGGAGAAGAAGAAGGAGGCCGGGTACATGAGCGGTGTGATTGACCAGCTGGGGGGACAGGAGCCACCAGGGCAACCACTCAGACACAGTTTCCCCCTCCCACCTTCAGGGCCTTAGGCCTCTATTAACATGACCACACCCCTGACCAGGATGAGCTTTTAAGGCCATGTCAGCACATCATCTCAGGCCTCCTCGTCCTTTCCCCAGAAGCTGCAGTGCAGTCGCATCTCCCCCGCCGTGGCTGGCAGGGAAGGAGAGCTGGCCAGAGGGGATGGGCCTCACCCGTACAGCAGCAGCAGGAGGAGGAGGGCTGGCAGGTTGGCAGGGGCCACGTATGCCTTCTGCTGGAAGGCCAGGAAGATGACCACCACAAGGCATGCTGGCACCAGGTAGTTGCACTGTTTCACATGACAGAAGTGTGTCGGGTGCAGGGCCAGGCTGCAGTCCTCAGCCCTGTGCCGGACCCTGACCTCCCTGCTTCTCCCCAAGACCCTCCACTGCCTTGGACAGACCCCTACCCGCTAGGACAGAAGGGACAGTGGCTGGGGCCCCACTGCTTTGGGGAGCCTCCGCACCATGTCCCAGAGGAAGTTGCCGAGCCAGTAAAGGGTGGGAGACAGGCCCCCCACGAGCTGCAGGTGTTTGGCTCGGGTGACACGCTCATCAATGAGGACAAGGGTGAAGCTGGCTGGGACAAAGGACATGGCGAAGACCACACAGATGGAGACCAGGACGTCCACCGAGGAGGCCATCCTAGTGGTGAGCATAAGACTGCTGGAGCAGTGACCGTGAGCTGCTGGGAGCAGAGCTTCAGACACAGGTCTACAGGGCCGGTCAGTGATGGATGCTGACCACTCAGGGAAGAGAAGGGCTGGGTCACTCAGGAGAGGGCAGCAGAGGGCCACATCGCTCTCAGGGTAAAAGCTGGTAGGATGGGAGTGTGGGCTGCAGGGGGAGCCTGGACTCCAAGCAGTCTCTTGCTGCTGCTCCTGGCCAGGCGTGGCAAGGGACATCCCTATTTCCTGTTTCTATGGCGAAGGCCAGTTGAGAATCACAGTCCCAGAGATCCAGACAGCAGAGACCCGGGTGGGGGAGTGGTCGGCGTGGACTTAGTGTGACCTGAGAGTGGGGGTGAGGGATGAGGTACACGGGCTCACAGTGTGACCTCTGAGTGGGGCGGGGGTAGGCTGGGGGTCACTCACAGTGTGACCTCTGAGTGGGGCGGGGGTAGGCTGGGGGTCACTCACAGCGTGACCTCTGACATCTGCTCCTTGGTAAGGTTCAGGGGGTGATTGAGGGTGGTGATGCTGTGGGCACGCAGGGCAGTGTCCGGGGGCAGGTGGGCACGGAGGAGTGCATTGTTGGCCCGGTTGACAAAGGCCACCATGGCGTGCCAGCCTTTGTTGTTGAACCAGACCTGGGCAGGGGCAGGCGGACAGAGGGTCGTGGACAGGGACGAGCTGGCCTACCCCAGCCCCCGCCCCTACTCCAGTCCACCTTGAGACTCGTCTGGTCATCTAAGCCCTGCGCCCAGGCTGTCAGGTTGCTGAGGAGGCGGTCCAGGGCCCCACTGGGAGAGGGGCTCAGCAGTACCCGAAGAGCTTCCACCGAACGGCCCACATCCTGTCCTGAGGGCAAAGCTGGGTCCCTGCCCCCCAGGGAGTAGCCCCCATACCTGCAGGGGCAAGGAGGGTGAGGAGGAAGCAGCTGAGGGCCTAGAGGGGTCAAGGGGGCCCCAGAGGCAGGAAGGGGTCAGTGGGACTGCAATGCGGGGCTGGGCGAAGGGGGCAGGTGGGGCCGTCCTCACCTGACTTCATTCACCCATTTCTTTGTCTTCAGGCTGTGGGAGAGATGGACAGAGATGGGGAGACAGAGAGATGAAGAGACAGGGAGACAGAGTCATGGAAAGATGGAGAGAGAGAGAGAGAGAGAGAGAGGGAAACAGAGGCATGGAGAGAAATGGGGAGACAGAGACACAGAGATGGGGAGACAGGGAAAGACAGGGAGACAGGGTGATGGGGACACGGAGAGATCGGGAGAGGAGGGGCGAGGTGAGGTAGGGAGAGACACACAGGAACAGAAGAAACAAAATCAAAGATACAGACAGACATAATCAAAGAGTGAGATGTTCAAATAAAGAGAAACGTGGTCAGGTGTGGACAGTTCGGGGGACACTTCCCAGGCCAGGGGCTCCCTAGCCAGTCCATGCTTCACCTAAAGCCCCTGCTGGCCAGTCCCATGGCTTACCCCTGGCGGATCAGGGCAGGATAGGTCTTGACCAAGAAGTCAGACAGGTTTCTGCCGGTCAAGTTCTGGACCACCTCACCGGAGCCCGTCAGCACCTGGGGCGGTGGGGGCCCCCCGGCTGCAGCGGGGCAGCTGGGGAGGAGGCGGCGGGCACCAGGCTGGCTGCACTGACAAGCTGGAGATGGAGACTCGGGGGTCCAGTTGCTGCTGGCCAAGACCTCAGCTACGTCTGCAGACACCTCAGGTGCCAAGAAGAGGCAGGTGGGGAGTGGCGTGCACCGGGGCACCCTGTGGAGACAGAGGCAGTTTGTGGGGACAGAGGCACCTGTGGGGGACAGAGGCACCCTGTGGGGGACAGAGGCACCCTGTGGGGATAGAGGCACCCCGTGGGGGACAGAAGCACTTTGTGGGAACAGGGCATCCCATGGGGGACAGAGGCACCCCGTGGGGGACAGAGGCACCCTGTGGAGACAGAGGCACTTTGTGGGGACAGAGGCACCCTGTGGTGATAGAGGCACCCCGTGGGGACAGAGGCACCCCGTGGGGACAGAGGCACCCCGTGGGGACAGAGGCACCCCGTGGGGGATAGAGACATCCCGTGGGGGACAGAGGCACCCCGTGGGGGACAGAGGCACCCCGTGGGGGATAGAGGCACCCTGAGGGGGACAGAGGCACCCTGCGGGGACAGAGGCACCCCGTGGGGGACAGAGGCACCCTGTGGGGGACAGAGGCACCCCGTGGGGGACAGAGGCACCCTGTGGGGACAGAGGCACCTTGTGGAGACAGAGGCACTTTGTGGGAATAGGGCATCCCGTGGAGGACAGAGGCACCCTGTGGGGACAGAGGTACCCCGTGGGGGACAGAGGCATCTCGTGGGGGACAGAGGCATCTCGTGGAGGACAGAGGCACCCTGTGGGGACAGAGGCACCCCGTGGGGGACAGAGGCATCCCGTGGGGGACAGAGGCACCCCGTGGGGGACAGAGGCACCCCGTGGGGGACAGAGGCACCCTGTGGGGACAGAGGCACCCTGTGGGGACAGAGGCACCCTGTGGGGACAGAGGCTTCTGAGGGCCCCCAGGCCAGGGTTCCAGCCCTCCAGCAGGCAGAGTATCCTGGGGCCATCCCTGAAGGAAGTCGCTTAGCCAGAGTCCAGATGGGCCAGCTGTGGACAGGCAGCTAGGCGGTCCTCACCTCTCAGAGGTGTTCTGCAGAGGGGGTCCTGCCAGTCCTGCCTCCACCAGCAGTGCTCTGAGCAGGTGGGCTTGCTTGGGGTCTCCAGGAGCATCCTCACTGTGTGTGGGTGCAGGGTCAGAGCTGTGCCCACTCCCTGTCCCCCGCACCCTCCTCCCCTCACTCACCTGAAGAAGGACACCTGTGGCCCATACATGGCTGGACTGAGCCGCAGAGCCGGGTAGTGCCCGAAAGGTGGGACGATGAGGCTGAATGCCAGGGCCAGGCCCACAAAGAGCGCGGGCAGAACGATCTGCGGGCTGGCTGTCAGTGGCTGCATGGCCTGCCCCCCAGACCTGCCCACTCCCCACGTCCTCCACCCAGAACTGCACCCACACCATCCCTGCTCCACACTAGAACTATCTGTGGCTCCCCAGTACCCTCAGCAGGTAGGGTTCCAGTGGGCATGCGTGAACAGGTAGCTGGATGAAAGCCTGCCTCCCACACGAGGCCCCTCACCTGAGCAAACAGCCCTCGGCGGCTCCGGCGGGCCAGCAGAAAGCGCTTGAGAAGCAGAGCCCCGAGCTGCTGACGGGTCAGCCCCCAGCCCTGGACACGGCCTGCAGTGTCCAGGCCAGGGCCCCGCAAGGCTTGTGTCTCCAGGGCTGAGCCGGCTATGGAACAGAGGGGTTGGCGGTCATGTGTGGGACAGCTGGGACAGCTCCAGGGCCATACAGGGGGGCGTACCTGGTTCTCCATTCTCCAGGACGGGCTCTTCAGGCACTGTAGTGAGCCGTGTCCGCTGGGGGACAGCAGAACCTGGAAACTGCCTCTGGCTGCCATCTGTGAGGCCACCAAAGGTCAGGGGTTAGTGTAGAGTGTGGGGTCAGGTCAAGGTCAGGGGCCATGGGTTGAGGGGGTTGGGGTGAGGGTAAGGGCTATGCATTGGGGCAGATTCAGGTGATGGTCCGTACCCTCTGTGTCTGTGTCCATACGGCTGTTTCCCAACACCTTCAGGAAGATCTGTGGAGGAAGGGGAGCTCAGAGTCTGAGGACCCGAGGGAGGTGGGCTGTCAGGGTTGCCCATACTCACACACAGTCAGTCCCCAGGGGACCCCAGCTTTCCTGCCTCCTGCAGGCAGGGATCCCTCCTCCCTCAAAAGTCCTTGCCTGGCCGTCCTCAAACTCCTATTCCCCCAGATTGCCACCTCACCTCCTCCAGGCAGCCCTCCTCCAGCATGACCCAAGTAACCACTCCATCCGGTACCTCCTCGAGGCTGGTGTCCGAGATCCCATAACCGCTCAGCCCAAGCTCCCCGAGGCGCTGGTCCAGCTCGTGGAAGAGCCTGGTGAAGCTGCCATCCCGGGCACCCTCGTAGGGCAGGGCCAGCACCAGCTCGTGCGGAAGCTGCTCCACCAGCTGTGCCCCTGGCACCTGGTGCTGCACCAAGGCCACCAACCGGACAGCATCTGGGCAGGCAGGGCACGCATCAGGACCCTTGACCACATTCACCCAGGGAGGGGGCCCAGAGGGGCTGGGATCTGCCCAGGGTCAGGACTGGCCTTGTTGTTGTTATTATGTGCCATCGAGTTGCTTGTGACTCATAGTGACCCTATGTACAACAGCCCTAAACTCTGCTCTGTCCTGTGCCAATCACACTGTCTCTGACACTCCCATCCCGATTACCCCAGTCACTGAATCAATCCATCTCATAGAGGACCTTCCTCTCCTGCGCTGCCCCTCCACCCTCCCAAGCATGATGTCTCTCTCCAAGGACTGGTCCCTCCTTGCAACAAGGCCAAAGTATGTTAGATGGAGCCTCAGAATCCTTGCCTCCAAGGAGCCACCCGGTTTAACCCTTTCCAGGATGAATCTGTTTGTTTTCCTAGCAGTCCATGGTATTCTCAATACTCTTCTCCAGCACCACAGCTCAAAAGCATCAATTCTCCTTCTGTCCTCCCTAGTCATTGTCCAGCTCTCTGATGCATAACAAGTGATTGCAAAGACCATGGCCTGTATCAGACGCACCTTAGTCTTCAGAGACACCATTGCTCTTCAGTACTTTGGAGAGGTCCCTAACAGCAGACTTTCCCATCATAATATATCTTTTCATTTCCTGGCTGCTGGTGCCAAGAGTGTTGACCGTGGAGCCAAACAAACTAAATCTGTGAACAATCTCAATGTCTTCACCATCCGTCCTGATGCTGTCAATTGTGAGACTGGCTTTAGGGTGGAGCTAAGCCTAGTGGTCAGAGTCTGGCTTGGGCACCCCAGCCCTCCGTACCCCCCTCACCGGTCACTCTGCCCTGCTCTCCTTCCTGCTGGGCCTCCACGTTCCGCTCATGTCCAGCGTCACCCTGGGGACATAGAGTTCACTGGGGGTATCAGTTGGGGCCGGGCAGACCCTGGGAGTGCGGGGCAGCTCCGCCTCACCTCAGCCAGGGACGGGGCCTCCTTCACCAGTGTCAGGTAGTAGCCGGAGCCCAGGCGGCGGCGCAGGAAGAGTGGGGAGCCGCAGCAGCACAGGCGGCCAGCAGCCACCACGGCCACGCGGTCACCGAGCAACTCCGCCTCGTCCAGGTGGTGGGTGGAGAGAATGAGCGTGCGGCCTGTGCATGGGGATAAAGAACGGGGGGGCCTCAGGTGGGCGCACCCAAGTCCTCTCAGCCCCCAGCCCCGCCGCCAGCACCTCGGGAACTGTTTCCAGGGCACCGAGCTCACCTTGGCGGTATTTGAGCACAAGTTCCCAAATGCTGCGGCGGGACGCGGGGTCCACTCCAGCTGTGGGCTCATCTAAGATCACGACACTGGAGCCCCCCACAAAGGCAATGGCCACGGAGAGCTTCCGCTTCATCCCACCTGGGCGGGTACCGGGGCAGGGTCTCAGCAGCCCCCCACCATGTCGCCCTCTCCCCGGGCCCAGGTCTTAGCGAACTGTTCCTGGGTCCTCCACCTCCCTGGTCACCCCGTCCCACTTGTCTTGGAAACAGTCTGGGGCAGCTCTGCTCCCCGGCCTGGGCCGTGCGACCTGGACCAACCTCACCTGAGAGGTGTCGCGTCTGAGCCTGGCGTTTGGGGACCAGCCCCACGTCCTGCAGTAGCCGGTCCAGCTCAGGGCCCACGGCAGCAGCGCTCAGCCCCTTCAGGCGCCCATAGAACCACACATGCTCGGCCACTGTGAGTCTGGGGGGGGCAGGGACGGAGCTGAGTGCCCAGACCCCAGTCCAGTGCCTCACTGCCCACTTGTGCACATACAGGTCAAATAGCACATTGTACTGCAGGCAGATGCCCAGGACCTCATCCACGTACAGGCGAAACAGTACATTGTATTGTGGGCAGATTCCCAGGACCCTCCCCCCCCAGGACCTCATCCACGTACAGGTCAAAGAGCACGTTGTATTGTGGGTAGATGCCCAGAACCCTCCCTCCCCCAGGACCTTGTCCACGTACAGGTCGAACAGCACGTTGTATTGTGGGCAGATGCCCAGGTGCGGCCGGATAGCGGCCATGTGGGACTGGACATTGTGGCCCAAGATGAAGGCAGACCCTCCACTAGGTGGAAAGAGGCCACTCAGGATGGACCTGGATGGAAAGGGTCTCAGGTGACGTCCAGGCCTAGAGTGAAGGGGAGCCCCTCCTAGAAGCCCCCACTGTCCATCAGCTGAATCGGGCATTACGTGCCCATTTCCCAGGATGGAGCACTGACAACCAGAACTCTGTGCCTATAGGGTGTTCCCCCAACCTCGGGTGACTCCCGTGGACCAGCTGGGGGAAGGGCTCACAGAGTGGTGGTCTTTCCGGCCCCATTGTGGCCCAGGAAGGCGGTGACATGGTCCTGGTAGAAGTCCAGGCTGAGGCCCCGCAGGGCTGGCCGTGCACTACCGGGAAAGTGCTTCTCCAGGCCACGCACGGAGACCCCGGGACGCAGGCCAGCGGGCGGCTCCTCCATCAGCACTGTGGGGGACACGGCTGGATGGAGTCTGGGGGGCCAGAAGAGGACTGGAGGGCCGCAAGGGGACACAGGACTAAGTGGCACTCAGCGTGGGGCCAGCCCAGCCAAGCTGAGGGGAGGCTCACAGAGGGTGGGGGTGTGGCCTAAAGAGCTGGGGAGTCAGTAACAGGCGGCATCAACAGGGATTGGTGCCTTTAAGAGTCAGGGGATCCCCAGGCCTGGGAGTGTCCAGGGCTTTGGGGAGCTGGAAGGCCCAGGGGTCAGGTTCTTGGCTGCTAACAAAAACACGGCTTGAACCCACCAGCCAGTGGTCAGCGGCTTCCACAAAGACAGAGACCCCGGTTAGATCTGCCCTGCCCCAGGGGCTCCTGCCCTGCCCTGTCCACGGGCTCGCTGAGGGTTCCAAGGCAACGCCTGGGATTTTTCTCGTAAAGTGGGTCCAGATGGCGAGGGGCCTCACCCTCAGGGTCCTGGGCGGCTGGGAGCGGGGCGGTGTCCTGGGGCGCCGGAGGTCCGCACCAGTAGCTCCTCCGAAAGGGGAAGTTCCACGGCTCAGGGATCCCGTACTGGCCTGGAGGCAGTGCTCCCTTACTCCCTGCACCTCCATCCGGGGCTCCCGCTGGAAACCCCACTCTGCAGCAGGTCCCAGGCTGGTAGGAAGGCCCGCCTCTCACCTGAGGCCTCGCCCCTGGACACAGCCCCTGTGGCAGGTGCAGCCAGCCCACCACCCAGTCCACGAGGGGCACTCCCCTGGGCGGGAGGCCTCTACCTTGGCCTAAGGTGCCCCTCGGTCTTGCCCCCCGGACTCACCAGGGCACACCGCCTCCAGGTACCAGGTGGCCAGGCCGTAGAGCGCAGCGTCCAGCAGCAGCAGCCCCGAGACCTGGGCCAGGCTGAAAACGCCGGCGGTGGGCGCGGCGCCCACGTTGTGCCACTGTGCGCCCTCGCCCTGCTCCTCCAGCAGCGCCAGACTCTCGCAGCCAAAACCAAAGGCGACCGGCGACAAGAGGCTCTGCAGGCGGGGCAGCCGGGTCAGCGGGCAGGCACAGCCAGCGTGCACCCCACCCGGAGCCCGAGCCTCACCGCGGCCACGCGCACGCCCATGGACAGCTGGTCCCGCCAGGCCACGCACAGCACGTAGGGAAGGTAGAGGGCGAAGTAGGCGAGGCCTCCGCAGGCGGCTGCCAGGTTGGCGCGTGAGAAGAAGGCGCTGATCAAGAAGCTCTGCACCACAGTGGCCGTGGCGAAGGCCGCCAAGAACAGGAAGACCATGGCCGGGTGGCTGTAGGGCAGGATGTCCCCGAGCTGCGGAGGGCAGGGCAGCTGAGAGGGGGGCGGACACCCTTCCCCAGCACACAAGTGAGTGGCCCCTCCGTAGACACAGGCTTGGCCGGGGATGCCCACCTTCAGCACCAGCACCAGCAGCCCGGCGCTGATAAGGAAGGGCCCGAGGCAGCTGAGGAACCAGCCGAGCCAGAGCACCCCCCGGCCAAGCCCCATGGCGCGCAGCGTGTCCCGAAGCCGCGTCTCCTTCTCCCGCACCACGGCCTTGACCGTCAGAGCCACGGAGTAGATCCAGGCCAGTGTCAGGAACAGCGGCAAGGACCGGCTCAGGACACGCAGGAACCTGGGGTGGGTACCAGGGTGAGACTATGTGGCTGCCCGATGAGGCACAACAGGTCTGCCCTCTGGGGAGGGTTGTCCCCTGCCCCCCGCAGCTGCGGGCCCTGCCTCAGGACCCTCTCCACAGACCTGCAGCCCTGAGCTACTTCGCCTTGACTGTGTGCATGTGACCTCACCAGGCCAATTAAACCACTTCTGCAGGCAGGGGACTGGGCACCAACGATTTTGAAGCTTCAAGGCCAAAAGCTTCTGGAGAACCCAGCTTCACACTTCAGAGGAGCCTAGCTGCACCCCCACTTAAGGATTCTGAGCCCCTCGAGCTGTGGGTCCATGACCATGGTCTGGCAGATGGGGAAGTGGCAGGGGGCCGCACTCACACATCATCCACGAAGCAGGGATAAGGCATCTGTTGCAGGTAGAGACCTGCATGGGGGGTGGCGCCACTGAGCACGTGAACGGCAGCACGCTCCAGCAGGTCTTGCAGGTACACGAAGCCCCCCCATACGTAGCGGAGGTCGATCAGGGGGTCAGCGGCCGGGCCAGGGTCCCAAAACCTACAAGAAGGGAATAGAGGGCAGAGTGGTCAGCAGGCTGTGGAGAGGGACTTGACAGTTCACAACTGACTCTCCCGGTCTGGCCAAAACCAACCTTAGCTTGCCCCAGGCCACAGGTTAAGGGCCTGACTCAGCCCCTCGTTGGTTTCAGCCTCCTGTGGTTGTCAGGTGCTGTCAGGGACCCATGAGCAACACACCTCAACCCTGTTCTGTCTGCGCCATCCTCACACTTCCTGGCACGCCCAAGCCCATTTCTGTAGTCACTTTGTCAATCCTGAAGGGTCTTCCTCTCCTTCATCCCTCCACCTTTCCAAGCATGATGTCCCTCTCCAAGGAATAACCTCTCCTGGCCACATGCCCAGAGTATGTGAGCTAAAGCGTCTTCAACTCTGCCTCCAAGGAGCACTCTGGCTGCACCATCTCCAAGATATCAGTTTGTTCTCTTGGCCGTCCAAGGGCTGTCCAGTGCTCTTCTCCAACAGCACAGCTCAAAGACATAATTATTCTCCTGTCATCCTTAGTCACTGTCCAGCTCTTAGATGCATAACAAATGATTGAAAAGACTATGGCTTGAATCAGGCACACCTTAGTCCTCAAACTGACATCATTGCTTCTCAAGAATTTGGAAAGGTCCCTGATTGCAGACTTTCCCAGTGAAATATGTCTCCTGATCTCCCAACCGCTGGTACCAAGTGTACTGATTGTGCATCCAAGTAAGATGAAGTCATTGACAGTTTCAGTCTTTTCTCCGTCTATCATGATGTTGTCCATTTGTCCAGTGGTGAGAATCTTTGTCTTCTGGACATTGGAATTAATCCATATTGAAGGCTGTATTCTTTGAGCTTCTGCAACAGATGCTTAAAGTCCTCCTCACTTTCATGAAGCAAGGTTGCGTCATCTGCATAATGCAGGTTATTGGTGAGTTTCCCTCCAATACTGATACCACATTCTTCTTCATAGAGCCCAACTCCTTGAATAATTTGCTCAGCATGCAGATTGAACAGGTATGGAGAAAGGATACACCCTACATAAACTTTTCCTAATTTTAAACCATGCAGTGTTCCCTTGCTCTGTTCGCACAACAGCCTCTGGACCTAGGTATAGGTTTCACCCACCAGGCCTTGGTCAGGGCCCTACACGATTAGGCTCCACCCATCGCAATGTAGGCTCCACCTACCACGGGCCATTATTGGTGCAAGGAGGCCTGGGCTCCACCCACCGGGCCTGAGAGCAGTGATAGGTTACACCCATTGTGGATGATGGCACCCTGACCCCCCATTCCCCAAACCTCTCCCACCTGTCCATGATTTTATTGGTGCTCATGACATTATCAATGTCCATGCGGATCTTGATGAACAGGTGGCTGGGGCCAGTTTCCTGGGCTGGGGGCTCCTCATGGTCCAGCGGGTCCTCAGGCCCTATGAAGACGATGCCGGCCCAGAAACGGCGCTCTGACAGCAGCTGCAGGGCCCGCGACACCAGTGCCGCCTCGGAAGGTAAAGCCTCCAGCTTGTCTAGTGACACGCACTGGGGGTGTGGGGGGGCACACAGAGCACAGCCCATCAGACACACTGGCCCTTCCCTGGCCTCAGGCCCCCTGTCTGTCCTTCCCAGTCTTCCCCTGTAGATCCCCCCAGCAAGCCAGCAGCTGCCTGCTTGGACCCCCGAAGTGGGATCTCTCTCCTGTCAATGTCCACGTGGGAGCAGCCTTCCTCTTCAACTGGCCAGGGCTGGGGCCTCCTCAGATGCCTTGGGCCTGCAATCTCCCTCCTCATCGCGTCCAGGTCTAGGACCTCCCCGCTCAGACCTACACACAGCTGGCTACCTCCCCCCCAAAATTGTCCTAGGCCTGGGACTTCATCCCTCAGCTTGGCCTGGGGGCCTTCCCTCTCACACTGACCTGAGCCTGGCCCTACCCCCTCAAGCCCACAGTTAGCCATCTCACCCACCAGATTCCTCTAGTTCTGGGGACCGACCCTCTCAGACTGTCCTGAGCTTGGGACCTTTCACCTCAGGGCCCTAGAAAGTTTGCCATCTCCTCCCTCAGACTGCCCTTGGTCTTCTGGGGGCTTCTCCTCTAAGACCCCCATAAAGCCTGCCATTTCTCCACTCAGATTTCCCTGGGCTTGGGGACCTCCCCTCTCGGACTGTCCCAGGCCTGGAGGACCTCTGCCTCAGATCTCGACAAGGCATCAGTGAGAAGTTACCTCTCAGGCTCTCCCCACTTTGAGGAACCAGGGCCCACCTCCCCCACTCTGAGTCCCTAAGATGTACTGGCCTTCTATCCTGGATCCCTAAACTGGGCCCTGCCTCCCCTCTCAGACACTGCCTCACCTCCATCACCTGGCCCAGCATGCCCACCAGGTGCCCCATGTCTGTGTGTGCCTCCTGCCAGCTGTAGCCACCCCTGCTGGAGTCCAGGAAGTTGAGGAGGGCTTCCGTCTGGTTCTGGCCTTGGAGGCCTGGCTGGCCCCTCCCTCTGTCCTGTATCTGTAGTAGCCGCTGGGGGACAGCGAAGGGGGCTCAGCATTGGGCTTCACAGCCCTCTTCACACCTTGTCAACTCCCCACTCCTTCACCAGCCCGCATCGCAGACCCATCTCTGTCCTTTGCCCAGTCCCTCAGGGGACCCCACCTTCAACATGGCCACATTTGCACTGTCATTCATGAAGCTGAAAATCTGGGGTCCCAGCACCTGCCACACCTCTTGTACATCCCTGAACAGAGCCAGCTCCTCGAAGGTCCGGTTCACCTGTACAGACGAGCATACAAAAGATGGGCACCTTCTCCTTAGACTGCTATGTTCATCCCTCTACAGTGTGGAACACTCCTACCTAACCTTCAAAACCCTGTTCCCAAGACCCTCTTCTATGAAGCCTCCATGATGCACCAGCCTTGGTCCCACGTGCTGACCCAGTAGCATTGGGGTCACCCTCACCTGGGCCATGAGCTGCTGTGTGAAGGGTGTGTCGGGTGTGAACAGCAGTTTCCCGAGGAACAGCGGCTTTAGGCGTCTCCACAGCAGGCGGGACAGGGGGTGGATGTCCAGGGCTCCCATTAGCTGGGCACAGGCAGGGCCTGGTGCAGGGATATCATGAGGCCTGGCTTCCTAGCCCCCCACCCTCCTTCTCAGTGGGGACCTCAAGGCTGGTCACTCACTTAAGCCACTGTCCATCAGCATTGGTGCTGGCTCCTCCTCCACAAACTCCCACAGGTTGCTGTCCTCGTACCAGTTGAGAGAGGGCACCCCTGGCCCACTGGGTCCCCTTGAACCACACAGGGCTTCTGACATCACGTTGAGGGGGCTGCTGGTCTCTCGGGGTCTCTGCAGCAGTGCCCGTAGTTCGCCCAGGCTGGGCAGCACCAGCAGCTGGGAAGGTCACTAGAGAGTCACTAGCAGCCTGCCCTCCACGCTGTGATGGGAGCAGGGCTCTCTGCCCATTTCTTGGAGGGAGTACTTGGAGATGCCCCATTGCTGCCTCCGCCTCCAGGCAGCCTACCCTGATTGCTCCTTTCCTGGGGTTGGGGTATGGCAGGACCTCTTACCTCCTGGGCCAGGTCTCTCACTGACTCTGCAAAGCTGTCCACAGCTTCCTGGGCTTGGTCCAGAGCAGACCTCAGCGAGTCCTTCAGATATGGCAAAGCGACAATAGCCTCACCTGAAGCTCAATCAGGTCAAACACTCTTAGTTCTAAAGTGGTCAAATTTTACAGAAAAGGAAGCTGAGGCTCTGAGGGGGACCTGTCCAAGGTCTCAGGAGCTGCGGTCCTCAGTTCCACATCAGCCACTCCCCACAGGAAGGACACTCAGGGCCAGAGGCGGTGATGCCAAGCCAGCCTAGAACTACTCGCCCCATCTCACCCCTTGAAGCAGGCTCCCCAGCATCTCAGTAGCCAGCAGGACTGGTGGTAATGGTTCCTCCTGTGCATGGCCACTCTGTTGAGGCTGAGCTGTGGACAGAACACACCGCAACTCAAGGTCAAGTAAGCCCGGGTCTGAGATCTTCCTCCACCCTGTGCCCATTTCACAGCCAGGCAAGTTGAGCCCCCTCACCTGCCCTACTTGCTGCCCTCAAAGTAGGTATAAGCTTCCCCAGGTCAGCTAGTGCCTTGTGGGCACTGGGACTCCCCAAGACTACACGGGCTTCAGCCAGGAGCCGGGAAACCCTGAGGGAAGAGAGAGAGGGCAGAGTGACTGCCAACCCCACTGGCCAGCACACACCCCTCCCACCCTGGCCCCGCACCTCAGCCCTCCTGGCCAGCGTCCCCTATCCACCCCCACTGGCCTGCACCACAGCACCTTCCAGCCTTTGTGGCCAGCATCTCCTACCCATGCTGCCCTGCACCCCCACACCTCCCAGCTCTGCTGGCCAGCATCCATTACCCCCGCTGGCCTGCACCCCAGCACCTCTCAGCCCTGCTGGCCAGCGTCCCCTGCCCCTGCTGCCCTGCACCCCTGCCTCACACTCTCTAGCCCCACTAGCTGGCAGCCCTGCCAGGCACCCCCCTCCCCGGGTTCTCACAGGGAGTCATTGAAGTTGTTCAGGGTCCCAGCCTCCTCTCCAGGCGTCGGCTGCGCAAAGCAGGTGTTGTTCATGCTACAGAAGACGCCCTGGAGCCAGGGCACCATGCCCGCTGAGGGCAGCGGCTTGTTGGGGAAGTGGCCTGCAGTGAGAGGGCCCCATCACCTGATCAGCCACCACAGTGCATGCCTCCAGCGACAAAAAGCTCTCTCCTAGAAACATTTACTGGGTGCCTCGGCTTTTTCCGGGGCCCCTAGCTGAGGGTCCTTCTGCCCCGACAAAGTGCCCTGTCCCGGGGGGGTCTTACACTCATGGTGTTCGAAGGGGGGGTGGGAGTGGCGCACGGCGACCAAGATGAAGAACAAAAAGAGAGGCCACAGCAACTCCACGAGAAGCTGGATCTGGGGGGACAGTGCAGGCGGAGGGTGAGTGGGGGTAGCGGGAGGGGGTCAGCGGAGGGCGCCAGGCCCGCCCCCTGCCCGCCCCGCCCGCCGCGTTACCGGCTGTCTCCGGCGGTAAGTGAAGTTCTTCCAGAGCAGAAGCATCAGCTGCGTGCAGAAAGCCATGGGGACTTGCTGTGCGGCAGCGGGCGACTCCCTGCTCGGGTCCCGGCACCTCTCACCCCGCCGCGTGCAGTCCCAGGGCGCGCTGCTTGGGGAGCAGACAGCAGCTCTGTAGGACGCCCCTTCCCAAGAAGAGGCCAATGGGAGCCCTGCCCGAAGCCGTCCTCGCAGCTGATTGGTTTTCAGTGCTGTCACTCCTTGCTTGGGGCGGGGGTCGGGTTCTGGACTCCCTTCCCTCGGACCTCGTGGGGCTCGGCCTCGGTTTGACTCGGCCTTCACCAGGCTCCCCCCAGGACCCTCCTGGGAGGCTCAGGGTCTCCCCGGCCGCCAGGCCCCTGTCGGCCCAGGGGCAGTTCTTCCTCCCGCCCCCTGTTCTCAGCCTTCCCCAGGGACAGGCAATGACTACCTGGTTGCAGAACACGCACTTCTGGGAGCAGCAGTGGACACGCCTGAGTAGTAGTGGACACTGAGGCCCGGGGAGGGTCCGTCCCGCCCTCGTGTGTCACTTCCCTCTCACTTTGCAGGAAAGAGGCTCTGCAACGAGCTGGGCTTGGGAGTCCAGGGCTACCCCGATCTTGTGCAGGTGGGGAAACTGAGGCTCCTGGGAGGGAGGGAGGTGCTTAGGGTGGTCTCCCGACCCAGGCCACAGAGGTGAGAACTAGGAACCCCGAGCCTCTCTTCAGGGTTCTTTCCTTTGCATCACTCGGGACTTAGGATCTGGGGAGCAGCCTCAGTTTCCCCTTTTGTGTAGGGGCGGCACCGGAGAGGCGGATTCTTACCCGGGAAGGGGCGGCAGGTGTGTCTGGCGAAGGTCGTCCACCTCCGCCCTCGTCCTCCTTCGTGGCCCTGCCTGCTCTTAGAGGATCAGCTCTCGGGTCCCGGGACTCGCACCAGGAGAGGGTGAAGGGTGAGTGGGGGGGTGGGCTCGGCCGGCACCTCTAATTCCCAGGAGCCAGTTCCCCACCCCCATCCTTCATCCTCGAGCCTCGAGGTCTTCCTCTCACCGCGATCCCTCTCACCGGTCCAGTCCTTCGGCGTTGGCCGCTTGCCTTCTGTCCGCAGCGGTCGGGCAGCGCGGTCCTTCTACGAGAAGACCCCGCGGGGCGAATCGCCCCTGAAGCCGGCCGCCCTTCGCATCTCAGCGCCTGCAGCCGCGCCCTCCCTAGCACCCATTGGCCGGCTCTCCTGCCACTCACACATCAGCCCTACCGGAGCGCCGCGCGCCTAGCGGGAGGTGGGGCCTCAGCTGGTCTGCGCCGAGCCGGGTCTTTTAAAGGGACCTTGCGCTTCTTGCTTTATCATCGTGGGAGACAACGGGCCAGGACTCCTAGAGGCCAGACGTCGGACGGATGTAGTGGCCAGGGCCCAGCCCAGCAAGCCGGCGCCTTCCCATGATGCACAGCCGCCTGCAATACCGCAGCTCTAGATTGCGGGACTTGGGGGAGCCCTTGCTGGCCACTCCTCTGTCCGAACCAGGCCTGTGACCCTGGGTTTGACCAGAATCATTCATCTCACAAACATTACTTGGTCTCATTGGTGGGTCAGGTGGTGGCAGAGGCGGGTAGGGGGCATCCTAACAGTCACCAACTTTGAGAAAACCCCCAGGCGTGTTGTTTACCGCCCTGGAAAATAGGTGCATTTCCCAAGTTTGCTGTGAGGATGGGAACCCACACAGAGGCGCGGGGAGAGTAGGGTGAGTGACCGGTCTGCTCACAGGCTGAGGTCTGGGGCCACATTCGCCCAGGATGAGGGCAGGTTCAGAGGTCCCTTCTACTGGTACCTCCCACTCCCCTCCCCTCCTGCATCCCGCTCTCCCCAAAGCCCCCAGAACACACCCTACCCCACTCATCCCGACTCCCTAGGCCAATTGCTTTTTCTGGAAAGGTTTTTATTGCGATTTGGTCCACAATCAAGATTTCACATTAGCTTGTGATCAGGGTCCTGGTGGGAGCAGAGCCCAAGGAGGTCTGTCGGGTGGGGGGTGGGAGACCTCTGTGCAGTTCTAAGGCAGTGAGGTGGGGGGCGCTTAGGAAGGTTCCAGAGGTGGGGGTGGGGTCAGGCGTTGCTCAGTCACGCGAAACTCCGTGGTCATGACTGGGTCTCAGTCTCCCCACTTTGAGGGTCAGATCCAGATCCTCAGGGGGTGGAGAGGACTTTGGGGTGGCCATTTCCCAGTACCCCTTCCCATCATCCCCCTAGAGGGAAAAAAAATGTTTTCTCTTGTAATGGGCTTTGTGGTCACAGAAACCAGAAACTGACCTGGCAGGTACCAGGGGAGGGAGACAAAGCCGGAAACTGCAGGGGGAAGGGGGAGACGGACTTCCCCTCCCTGTGCGGTCCCCTCCCCCATACAGTGCAGACACCATCTCTGTCCATCCTCCAGTACCCTTACCCACTCTGGTGGCTCAGTCCAGGCGAGAAAACGGAGGAGGGGGTCATCCCCGCCTTCCCCCAGCCACCCCCAGACTCCCAGCTGCCATAATTCAACTTGTACAAAACCCCAAAACCCATGGTGTGAGGAGATGCCCCGTGGCCCCTCAGTAGTCGGCCTCCTCCTGGCAATAGCGGGGGAACTCAGGGGTGTCCCCAGGGCCCGTGCAGTTATCCACACTGGCCGAGGCCGCATCCACAGCCGGGCCTTGTGGACAGTACTTGGGGTCGTAGATCTGCCGGCCCAGGCCGAACACCTGACCGCTCTGGTTGGCGCCCTGCGTGTAGCCCATCTGCAGGGACATGGAGGAGTTATCACACTTGTCCGTTCCCAGCTTGGTGTCGTAGATGTGCCGCCGAGTCCCGGGGGCAGTCATGCCCACCTAAGGAGAACACTGGATGTCAGGTGGGGCGGCCACCCCTCTGCCTCGAGCGCCTGAGGACCCACAGATCCCACACCATTTCCCACCAGGAAACTCCTAGAGACCTTCAAAGCTGTGAGCATGACAGAGCAGGGGTGACAGAGAGCAGGGTGAATGTGACGTAAAGTAACAGAACAAGGCAGTGTGACGTCGCAGAATGAGTGCGCATGGCACAGCAGAGCAAGCGTGATGGAGTGAGCGTGAGAGGGTGTGTGTGACAGAGCGAGCCCACATGGTCCCGGGTCAACTTTACGGACAAGGCCCAGAGGCAGTGGGGTTGGGGGAGGAGCCAGCCTGAAGCTCTCTCCCCATGGCCCCCAGGGTCCAGGGCACACAGGGCCAGTCTTTCTGGGGCAGGCTGTCAGGCCACCTCTCACATCCTGGGGTGAGTTTGAACTGCCAACCTTCCAGTTAGTCACAGAACCTGAAGCCCTGATCAGAGGCCGTTTGCAGATGCCTGGCTAAGCCACCTCCCTGCCCTAGCTCTTACCCACCTAGGACTGGGGGACCCTGAGGTCTTAGCTCTCTCCACCCAGGGCCCCCCATTGCAGCTACCTGACACCAGAGGAGAGTGCTTGGCTCTAAGGACCCACAGGTGTGTACAGACCAGGAGGAGGGGGCAGCACCCAAGGACACAAGGACATGGTGCCGAAGCTGCCATCTGAGGACAGCAAAGGTGGCCACTGGTTGGAGGAACCCAGGAGTGGCAGAGTGGATGGGGGTCACATGGGATGCAGTGGGGCTCACAGGGGTGAATGGTACGGGGGGGCCATGTGGTAGGGGTTAGATGAGCTGTGGTGGGGATGCAGGTGGGGTGTGGCAGAGCCCACGTGGTGGGCAGACAAGTGGGGTTTGGTGGGGGACAGGTGGGGTACGGTGGGGGGTCAATTAGGGTTTGGTGAGGGGTCAGATGGGGTGACAGATGGGGTGTGGTGGG